ACAGTGGCATACCCTCCCTATGTTGGCTAGTAGGTGCCTTCTGGAAATGCTTAGTTATACTCCCCTGAAGCATAGAACCACTTGTCTGTACCATTTCTAATATCCCCGTTTCCCCTTAAGGGAAAAAAAACTGTTTGGAAAGGCTCCACAATACCACTCTCTCTTTTCTGGACTTCCTGGACACGGTACTAATTAAATTAGCTACGTTTCTTTTTTAATTACATTCAAGAGTTCTTGTGATGCTGGTGACTAACGTAAAGAACAATCTTATTAATGCTGAAATTGTATCTAGAGACCACACGTGATTTGTCAAGAACAAATCATGTCAAACCAGCCTGATAGTTTTCTTTGACAGGAGAACAAGCCTTAGGGATGGGGAGTGAGAAATGGTAGACATGATAGATCTTGATTTATCAAAGCTTTTGATACCGTTTTGCATGATCTTCTCATAAACTAGGGAACTACCACCTAAATCGGGGTGGGCAAAAGGGCCTCCGCGGGCCGGATCCGGCCAATCAAGCGGGTGGATCCAGCCTGCAGAGGCCCTGCTTCTCTCCCGCCCCCAGACCAATTAGGATCTGGGGGCAGAGGAGCGCCTGAAGCCACCTCTGCCTGGGGGCAGGGAGCATGCCAAGCCTCCTCCCGCCCTGCCAGGAGCACGTTGTGCTTTGAAGCTCAGCATGCTGCTCACAGGGTGGGGAAGGGGGGAGAGCGGAGGAAGCTTCGTTAGGGTTGCCAGGTGCCCGGTTTTGAACTGGACAGTCCAATATTTGAGTTTTCTGTTCAGGAAACAAATTGAGAAAATATAAATGTCCAGTATTTTCTAAATAAGACGTAATGTCGTGTGTGTCTGGTATCTTTGTTGAAACCATCTGGCAACCCTAGGCTTCGTGCACTCCCCTGCCCCCAGGCCAATCAGGGGAGCTGCATGAAGCTTCCTTCGCCCTGCCCCAGCCCTGCAAGGAGCCCGTGGCACTTCAAAGGGCCATGTGCTCCTCACAGGGCAGGAGGAGGCTTCCTGAGTTCCCCAGCCCCAAGGCCCAGATTGGCCTGGGGGCGAGGGAGTGTAATCATGGTCTGGGGATGGGTTGCCCCACTCCTTCCTGTTTAGGCTCTGCCCTCCTGGGATGGCCTGGCACTATTTCAAAAATTTTTGAAGTGACCCCCAGGCAAAATTATTACCCACCCCTGACCTAGATGGAGCTACTGTAAGGTGGAAAATTGTTCCCAGAGAGTCGTTCTCAGTAGTCAGTCATGCTGGAAAGGTATAATGAGTGGGGTCCTGCAGAGATCCGTTCTGGATCCAGGTCTGTTCGTATTTTCCTCAGTGATTTAGAGAGCACACTTGTAAATTTTGCGAATGATACCAAGCTGGGAGGAGTTGCAACTGATTTGGAGAACAGATTAAAATTCAGAATTAACTAGATAAATAGTCTGAAATAATTAGAATGAAATTCAATGAGTACTGTAAGGGAGGATTGAAAAAATTGGGTTTGTTTAATCTGCCAAAGAGAAGACTTGGAGGGTGTTAGACCTGGAGGAGGGTTCCCCCTAAAGGATGAGGGAACAGGCGTATATCTGCCTGGTATCTGCCAGTATCTAACACAGTGTTGGTATAATACCCTAAATACTCTTTATTGCTTACAAAATGAACTTCACTCACTCCATGTTCATACCCAAAGCATACTACACCAGAATCCATAGTCAAAAATCCTGATTTCTGGCCGAGGTTCACTTTAATCACAAGGTTCATGAGGTTTTCAAATAGCATAGCATATCCAAAAAGAGCTCTAGATCAATAAACTACATCAGATTGCAAATATGTGAAGCCTCCATTTATAAACCACTTCATGACATCATTAATCTTGTGTGTCTGTTGCCTGGACTTTTTACCAACAGAATTCCAATGAGACAATTCTGAGTGGGCCGCCGTGGTCCAAGGCATGCCATTTTCTTCAAATCTGACACATTTTTATAGCAGTCCAGCTGATGTTATTTCTTGGATTCTTCATATTTCTTCATGGACATCAATTATTTTGTACAAATAGCTCTTGACTGCTTGAAATCTTAAATTCTCACTTCTGTTGCCAACATGCAGTATACATATTTATGTCAAACAAACTAGTCTAAATGTCAACATTTAGACATAGTACCACAATAGGCTCCTTGGTCTATAACACATATTTTCTGGAATATATGGGTATACAGATTTACATAACCCAACAAGGGGACATAAGTTTTCAAGTACATAAAAGGGTATTAAAAGGAAGAAGGAGAAAAATATTCTCTTTAAACTGTGATGATTGGACAAAAAGGAATGAGCTTAAATTACAGCAAGGGAGATTTAGGTTGGACATTAGAAAAAACTTCCTAACAAGCAGAGTGTTAACTACTGGAATAAATTGCCTAGGAAGGTTGTGGAGTCTCCATCACTGGAGACTTTTAAGAACAGGTTAGGCAAACCTCTGTCAGATTTTTTAAAAAAATAGTCCTTCCTTGACTGCTGGGGACTAGATAACCTCCCGAGATCCCTTCCAGTCCTATGATTCTATGCTTTTTCAAGAAGCTGATTTTCAAATAGCATAGATAACATTATATGTTTCCATAACATTTATGCTTTATGATATATTTCTGTCCTTCTGTTCTTTCTTTTTTGCCTCTGGCTTTTTTCCTTTCTTATACAATGTGTATTTTCCCAAATGGATCTAGTACAACATTTTGATTATGCTGACAAGAACAGCAACACCTCTGTAGATTGTCCTACAGCAAAGGCATGACAGAATAAATTATAAATAGAGCCACATTCCATGGTTTCTGCGTATGCAGTACTTCGCTTCCTCTCTCCATAGGATAAACTCTGTGGCAAACAGCTTCCTCACATGGCATGTCAAGATCTGAAACAGATGCTGACGTAACTGATGCAGTTGTTATCTTGCCTGCCAGAACCTAGAAGCTGAACCCATGTAGCAGGAGTACAGCAGTCTCTCTCTGCAAGCCACCAAGTGTTAAGAGACTGTGTGTTGTCTGTGCTTCAAAATATATACTATAAAAGATATGCCTGTTGAGCCACTAAATAGCACTTTACTATACATCTTTAAAGTGATGTACAAAAAAGCCAGTGCACTGTATCAAATCCCCGCAGAGATTAATACAATTTTTAGTTGTGGAATATGGACAGGATGAGCAACTTTGAAGTAATAGTGCTTAGTGGTTTGGTACCTCAATTCCCCATCTGTAAGATGGGGTAACAATACTACCTTTCTGTGCCCTTTGTATTGTCCATTTAGACAGTAAGCTCTTTGGGTCAGAGACTTTTAATGTGTATTTGTACAGACCTTGCATTATAGGGCTTCAGTTTCAGTTGGAGCTTTCAGGCACTGGAAAGAAAAATAAATGATAGTGAATAGGATGTTTGCTGAACTTTACTGATCAGTATCATGGCTTTTTGCCACATCCCAGTTCCTCTTGCCATGTATCCATTGTTTCATTAGACTTTAAGCTCTTTGAGGCAGAGACAGGTTTTCCTGCTGTATGTTAGTAAGGTTCTTGTCTCATGTCTTCTATTCATCCCTTATTAATGTCTGCGAGATACTATGTCTTGGCGCACATATTATTTTTGGTACTGTATGTATTTTAAGAGTTGTACTGCTAAGCACTATACTGTAGCAGCCTACTGATATATCATTTTTAAGCACTGACAAGTGTGTTCAGTGCTAGGCAACGGTTAAGTGAAGCCAGAATCTCAACCCAAGGAGCTAACAATCTAAAGGGCAAAGATAGATCAGATAGAAACACTGGGCGGCAATGAAGAGAATGGATATAACCTACAGCAGAGTTTGTTTTTTAAATTTGTGCATGTTATGGAAAATGGATTTTCAAAAGGGATTTTAATTTAAAAGAACATTCTTCATTTAGAATGTGTGTTTGTGTGTGTGTAATAGCTCCTGTGGTATACTTTCATTGCTATGTCTACATTGGCAAGATTTTGCGCAAATACTTTTAACGCAAGAGTTTTTGCATTAAAGTGTTTGCGCAAGAGAGCGTCTACACTGGCATGTGCTTTTGCGCAAGAGATGTGCTTTTGCGCAAAAGCATCCATGCCAGTGTAGACACTCTCTTGCGCAAGAAAGCTCTGATGGCCATTTTAGCCATCGGGCTTTCTTGCGCAAGAAATTCATGTTGCCTGTCTACACTGGCCTCTTGCGCAAGAACAGTTGTGCAAGAGGGCTTATTCCTGAGCGGGGGAGCATCAGAGTTCTTGCACAAGAAGCACTGATTTCACACATTAGAATGTCAGTGTACTTGCACAAGAACTCCCCACCAGTGTAGACATGCAGCATGTTTTTGCGCAAAAGCAAGTGCTTTTGCACAAAATTATGCCAATGTAGACACAGCCATAGAGTAGCAACCATTTGCCTTTTTTCTTTTTTTACCATTTCAAGCTTCACTGTTACAAATGTGAATTATGCAATTATGTTATGAATTATAAAGGAATAATTTTATTTAATCTCATTGTTCTTTTTAAAGTATATTTCTAAGTCTCCTGTTCAGATGTTAATGTTTAACATAAAAATCTGTTACAGAATATCCCTTAAACTGCCGCATTTTGACTGTTTTAGTAAGAACAGAAATTAAACTACTCCCATGTTATCAACTTTAAATTGGAATACACTTTGGGCTGCATTATCCATTGTTACCAGTTTTATGTCACTGTAACTCCACAAAGGAATTATACTCATCCAAAGCTGGTATAATAGAGGGTAAATCCAAGCCCTTTAAAATTAAAGTTTCAGTAAGGAATGTGGAATAATAAATCCTAGTGATCAAGGTTTCCATGTTATAATTTCACACCAGAATAGAGACAGGTAGCTGCACCTGACATTGATTGATGTCACAGATCTCAGTGCTTGTGAATTTCTGATATTTCTATAATAATTACTACCACAGCTTTAGATCTCAGAGGTTATTAAACCATCCATTTTTTGGCTGTTGTATTTCAGGTGGGATTCCATTTGTCTTGACTGGAGAGTTTTTTCAGCAATCTCAAAAGCCTGCCGCATTTATGATAGCTGGGACAGTCAACTGGCTCTCCAACTTCTCAGTGGGCCTCCTTTTCCCTTTCATTCAGGTATATCCCATGCACAATTAACTGTATGCTGGTTGAATTAAAAGTATATTAGCAAGTGATGTTGAAACTTTGTGAAGTGGAATGAAACCTGCCCCTTCTTTTGATGCATTTCAATGTGCCAGTCGTAAATGCCTATTACGATGAAGCTCTACTTAATGGAAACTGGGGAGGAAAACATGATTATGTTGTGGACTTGTGGACAATAGCATATTTCTGATGAGAAAGAGTGGAGACTTAAAGAGAGCTTTATGCTCCCAAAAAAGAAGGGTGACCTTCAAGCAAATGCTGAACTTGGGTGATAAATGAGGACTTCAGGCTTGATCTGGGGCCCATTAAAGTCAATACCAAGATTCCCATTGACTTCACTTAATTGGGATTTGAATAGAACCAAAGAAATATAGAACAGTAGGGCTAACCTGTTCTTAAACACCTTAAAATCTTAAAAATTTTAAAAATCTTAATCTCCAATGATGGGGTGTCCATAACCTCACTTAGGAACTTATTTCACCGTTTACCGTTCTTTTCCTGTTGTCTAATCTGTTTCACTTGCTGCAGACTAAGCCCATAACTACTTGTCCTACCTTCAGTGGACATAGACAGCAGTATAACAATCCTTTGGGTACTGGAAGACTGTTATAAAGTTCCCCATCCGTCTTCTTTTCTCAAAATTAATCAGGTTTTCTTAACCTTTCTTCATAGATGAAGGTTTCTAAACTTTATATACATTTTTGTGCTCTCATCTGGACTCTCTCCAGTTTGTTTATATCAAGCCTTTTGTCTGTTTTGTCTGGAATATATTTATTGCAATGCTGTATATGTGTAGCACAGTCTCTTCAAACATGGCAAAGGACACTGCTTCTGTTTTCCCACTTTCATACAAGCTGGTGGGCATTAAGGAGTCTCCCACCACTGACAATATTTCAGTCACTTTCTGCAGGGATGCATTTATTGTATACACACAGCTAAATATATCAGAACAGATAAACCAAGTCTTGGCCCCTCCTAAAATCTTTGCCTCAGAGATCTTTTGCTGTTGTCTAAGTAATAGGTTTCTCCACCAGGCCTTTCATCTGGGTGGTGTGGCAAGCCCTCCTTGCCAGGTCATATCCTGAGTCTTCGGTATGGCCAGCTGGAATGCAACTAGTTATTCCCAGGTGGGGGCTAACCCCATCTTATTTACAGGGCATCCCACCTTATAATAATGTGATAAAAGTGGGGTCTACAATTACAAAACCAGAGTAGTGACTACGTAGTTGCCTGTTAACATTTTAAGCAAACACAGAAAATATTTTAGGGGGAAAAAATCAGAAGTTTTTCTCATGTAATTGTTGTCTAGAGAATAGTTCTGAAAAGTCTAAGGCTAATTGGACTAGTCCTTTCTGGGTAATGAGATTTGGAAATAATTGGTGTAATTTGGAATAATTGGAATAATAACACATTTTTTTTAATTTCTGGAAAATTGCTTTTTGTGTCTGCTCAGAAGTGAAAAAATATTTGATGTAAAATGTGTAGTGTTTCTGTTAGACATTTATTCTCAGTAGTATATAGGACATCTTTTACCATCTCATCCTTAGACCTTAGTCCAACCCATGCTTTTCAGCACAATGGGCTACCCATATTCTCCATGCTTGCGAATCAGCTGACATGTGACACAAGTCCTCCCATTTCTAATTAACTTTTCCTTTTTCATTATTCATTGTATACTTTCAAGTCATCCTAGGTCTGTCCCTCTTTCTTGTTGGATTTTATGGTTTCACTATAAGAGCCATAATTGGCGATCGGTTACAATTCCTTTTTTAACACATGCCTTTAGTGTCTTCTCACAAATTATTTGCAAGAGTCCTCACTTTAGCCATTTTTCTGACCTCAAGATTTGTTTTTCTTTCCTCATAGCTTATGTCTAATATTCTCTGGAAGCACTTAGCATGAAAGGCATCTTACTTGTGAGCATCTAGTTTTTTTAAGTTGCCAGGTTTCACTGCCATAGGTTTCTATCGCTACAACGATGGCTGAGTAGACACTTAGTTTTGTATGGAAGAACACAGTATGTTAACTTTTGGTTTTAACCTTTAACTTTTTGTTCCTAAGTTTATCGAAGGCTGTATTTGCTTTGCCAATCCATATTCTAATTTCTTCAGAGTATTTACCATCTTGACTTATCGTACTTCCAAATTGGGAAGGATAGGAGATTCTGGAAAATAGTTGTAAGTCCTCGCACAATTGGAATATTATCAAGTAATGGTACTAGAGTCCTAGAATTTTGTGCAGAAAACAATCTTTGGCTGTGTCTACATTGGTAAGATGTTGCGCAAAAACAACTGCTTTTGCGCAAAATCTTGCCGCCTGTCTACACTGGCCACGAATATTTGTGCAAGAACACTGACGCTCTACTGAATGAAATCAGTGCTTCTTGCGCAAATACTCTGATGCTCCCGCTCAGGGATAAGTCCTTTTGTGCAAATGTTCTTGCGCAAGAGGCCAGTGTAGACATGTAACATCAATTTCTTGCGCAAGAAAGCCCGATGGCTAAAATGGCCATCAGCGCTTTCTTGCGCAAGAGAGCATCTACGCTGGCACGGATGCTTTTGTGCAAAAGCAAATCTTTTGCACAAAGGCACATGCTAGTACAGACGCTCTCTTGCACAAACACTTTTAATGGAAAAACTTTTCCGGTAACAGTATTTGCGCAGAATCATGCCAGTGTAGATGCAGCCCTAGTATTTTCAATTCATATTTTCAGTACAAAAACATTCACAAATAGATCTGGGTATTCCAGAGGGTCTAATACAGAACAAAATACACTTATATATGTATCGGTCAAAGATGGAAAGTATCTGTAATACATATTAAATAGTAATAGAGAGGTAGCCATGTTAGTTTTTCCTTTTGTTTTAGCAAGATCAGACTATATAGCACTTTAAAGACTAACAAGATGGTTTAATAGGTGATGAGCTTTTGTGGGCCAGACCCACTTCCTCAGAGGAAGTGGATCTGGCCCACGAAAGCTCATTCACCTATTAAACCATCTTGTTAGTCTTTAAAGTGCTACATAGTTTTTCCTTTTGTGATACATAATAGAGTTTTTAGAGGAGCAGACATAGGTAATCACCCCTATTTACTGAAGACAAGCATTAGATTAGATTAGATTAAAACTTAAAAAGCTGAAAAAGGTTGACATACCTAAGGCATTTGACATAAAAAAGCTGCAAGATTCCGAACTAAAGAACGTGTACCACACTGATCTTAAAAACAAATTTCAGAGACTATGAAACAAACTATGTAGAGTAATTTTGGGACCATTTAAAAACAGCAGTCATTGAAGCAGCACAAAGGATGATTGATAGAAAAAGATTGATGATTTGACTGTTTCACCAACTAGCACTAGTTAAATTTCTCTGATAATCTAGAAATTGATAGACTCTGACCCAGCTAATCTAATCTTGCATTTAAATACAGGAGGAGAAGGTTTTTAGCCATTTGATTACTAAAATCACCTTCAAAATGTAAACAGAATACAAATATCCTAATCTGAACCTTTTCTCCTTCTTAGAACTGAGTGAATAATTGATGTTTTGGTCTGGGTGGTAAACAGAAAAATTCAGTAAAACAAAATCTGAACTGATTTGGCTTTTGGGTGATTGTGGGGCTGAGTGGTGGGTTGGTTTTTGGTCAATTGTTTTTTATGACCATAACAAAAAACAGGAAAAAATTATCTTCATGGAATGAAAACACATTTTTAGAATGATTCAAAATGATATTTTCTAAATGAAACTGATCAATTTGAAAGTAACTGTAAAAGTGGCTCAATTTGAACATGTTGAAATGAACGTTTTTCACCTTTTTTAAAAACAATTTTCTATGTTCAAGTTGGCCAAAGCTGCATTTTTGGTGAATTTGTTATGCACCAACATTTTTTGCCCTACTCTACAACTCTTGTCATTGACTTCAATAAGAATGCTCACAGGAATAATCCCTAAGAGCTCAATCGAATGTATAATGAAATCAATGGGAGTCTTTTCATTGGCTTCACTAGGCATTGGATCAATCTGTATTTCTAAAGTAAGGTGTAAGTGCTTTGCGCTCACCTAACTGTACTCCTGATAAAGTCACAGAAACTCCCCTGAGCTTCTATGGAGTTAGGCTATTGCTCTTAAATTTTGAAACTGTGTACATTTGTCAGGGCAATTTTCTCCTAAAAGTCAGGGAGGGTTTTTTTTCAGATTTTTCTTGTAGGAATAGACAACGTACTCCATGCATGTACTCTCATTTCTACTTCCTGCGCTCCCACTTGGAGACTGCTCTTCTGTCAGCCAAATCTGAACTGTGTGGCTCAAGCACATCTCTCCTGTTATGTAATCCATTACTTTCTTTGCTAGATTGTATTATATGTATTCTGTGTTTCTACTAGTACCTCATCATAGGTCACTCACTGAGTGTTGACTGTTTTTAAAAAGGCACTAGGCTAAAAATTGATTACCTTTCATTTTTATCTATATACTAACATTTATCTAATATTGTCCTTGTAAATACATTATTTAGATGAAAAAAAAATCTACTTCTAAGAACTTTTAATGACAAAAATACATCTTTAGTTGCATTGAAAAAAGAGTGTGCTGCAGTGTGTTTGTTTTTTGTTTTTAGAACTTTCTTACCATTAGAAATCAGAGGCATATACATGAAAACAGATTTACTCAGGTTTTGACTTTCTTCTGGGATTATTCATGAGATCAACTATTAATGTCATCCTCATTCAAAAAGTAGAAGTTGCACATTTAAGAATGGCTTCCTAAACTTTATCTTCATCCAGCTCCTTCAGTGCACATCTGAGTACTGCATTATAATCATATAATTTCAAAACAAAAAAGTGTAGCTCCCTCTTTGTTACACAAACGTTATGGATTAGCTACCCATTTCTAAATAACATCCACTTTTAAAACATTTTTCTCTTGCTGTATTCTGCTACAATGAAAAAACTGGACTATGTTATACTCTAAGAATTTTTATTTTCTACTTCAGGAGTCTGCAACTTGAGGATCTTTTAACATGTCCTTGCAGTCCTTTTCTACTGACAGATGGCAAAACTCTGTTTATCTCCTCACATTTTTGTTTGTGGGGCCAGCTGTTCAGATTGAGCTGCCAGGTTTAAGTGTATATAGTATTTGTAACAAGAAAATTAAGAAGCAAAGTAATAATACCTCTTAAATAACAGAAGTCAAAACATGCACTGTTTTACACCTTGAATTTATTAACTTAAAATATATTATGGGAGTTGTAACTTTATCACGTGTGGTCTTCTGTCTCTCTCTCTCTCTCACTCACACGATAAAAATTATATTTCTCAGTTTGGAGGCATTTCAAACTCCTCTTCATCACTTAAGGCTTGGTCATGAGGTCTGCTCAGAGGTGTTCCGTGCTCTCTACACCCACTGATTTAATTGGCCATTGAATACATGCCATAGTTCATAGGACTGGGCCCTGAAAAGACAAAAGACAGATCTTGGTGAGAGAAATGACTCAGTAGATCAGATTTAGAAAATGAGTTACCCAGATGTTGCCACCCCTTCTTCCAGAATGTCCCAGTTCTTCTCTGTATGCTAAAATTTTGGTGGTTTTAATGCTCTGGGTTTTATAGGCCAAATCCCAAAGTGCTTTACTGAAGCAAAATATCCATCAAATGAACAGGCACTTCAGGGTTGGTTCCTCTTTCCTAATGTATATATTTTTTCATGTGGATCCTTGTACCTGGAAAGGTTAAAGCACTCATCCCTGCTTCTGCCCTGCACTAGAATTTTGACAGTGTTGGGTAGTGTCTTTTGAAAAAGTATCTTGTGAGTTTGAAGGGCATATATAAATAATACACTGGTGAATACAGCTCTTTGAGATCTAAAATCTTTATCTCCAGGTCATCCAAGCCCAATGGGCTCACTGCTCAAAAGCATCAGTGTCAGGTTAATATCCATAATTTTTCAGAGTTTTGGAAAGTTCTCATAATTTTTATTCATTTTCAAGAAGGCATGTTGTCAGAAATGGGAATATTAATAAATCTATAAGCTAGATCTTAGCTCATTCTAAGGAATCTGTCAGGTTGGCATGTTGAACTCAGTCATGTCTCTCTTCTTTTGTGTAGCAAGTCCAAATGTTTGCTGAAGGGTCAGTTTTGGGAAATGAATAAGATCTGAAAAGGATCACTTTGTGATTTTTCTTTTCTGGATAAATAATGAGTTTGAAAGTAATATCCAGAATGATGTCAACAAGTATTGCTAAAACTACAAAATGATTTCACTTGTGTAGTGCCCTTTATGTTCTTTACCCAGACATTTAAGTAATCAGTCAATGATTATTATTGTTTTCTGAAAGCATATTTGTAACAAGCATCTGCAAATACCCCATGCAAATAAAATTTTCAAACTCCTTCATGTGCCCATCTAATCAAGGAACAGAGATTATACCATACATCTTATGTAATCAAACACAACCAGCCAATACAGCTGGAATTTTAGACTGGGATTTTCAAAAGTGCTCACTATTGACTGAACTCTGTTCCTATTAAACTCAGTGGAAGTCACTGGTGAAATTCCCAATGACCAATATTCTTGTAGAGTTTAGCCATCACTGAGCTTTTTTGAAAATCCCATCCTTAAGGATTAAGCCTGGTTAGGATCAGAGGCTAGTGCCCACCAGCTCTTCTGGAGGAATAGGAGAGTTTATGTTGTTTCATACTTGTTTGCACTTGGAATGTTTCAAAAGGAGTAGGACTGTAAGTGGCTAGCCAGAGGGCTAAGTCTCTGCAACACAGAAGATGTTAAAGGGTGGGCAGACCAGTGGATGAGTTGATGGAAAACCGGTGAATGGCTGCTGCTTTGGCAGACTAACAATATTCTGCAGTATCTTGAATGAATTTTATTAAATTAATGCCTTTTGAGTCCATTGTATTAAAAATGAAATTGGGAATCTGTTGTTGTGGATCTGTGTGCATTTCCATGAGCAGGGAGAAAAGGAGAACAGCAGGGTGGGCAGACCAGTGGATGAGTTGATGGAAAACCGGTGAATGGCTGCTGCTTTGGCAGACTAACAATATTCTGCAGTATCTTGAATGAATTTTATTAAATTAATGCCTTTTGAGTCCATTGTATTAAAAATGAAATTGGGAATCTGTTGTTGTGGATCTGTGTGCATTTCCATGAGCAGGGAGAAAAGGAGAACAGCAGGGCTCCACAGAGACACCTCCCTCCTCCCAAAAACAAAGGCCTGTACTTGTTCAGAGTGGATTCTCTAGGCTCTAGGTTTGCCAGATGGTTGAAACAAAAATACCGAACACCTTTCCCTCCTCCCCTCCCCCCCCCCTGCAAAAACAGGAAAAAATTCTGTTGAAGGGAAAAAAGGGAGGGGGAGGAGAGACCAAAGTTGTTGAGCAAAAAAAAGAAAAAGAACTCCGAGCCAAAAAAAAATTAAAATAAAACAGCATGTCCCATTTAAGAGTGAGTGCAGGGATAGGAACAGGGGGAGTAGTTGAGCACTAAAACCTAGGGGAAAGCATTGCTTTCCCTAGGTCTTTTGGCCGGCAGCCATTTTGTGCCGGCAGCCTTGGGGAACCAGGTAAGCCTTGTTGGGAGCCAAGGCGGGCTCAGGGAGGGAGGCCAGACACTGAGTATTTGTAGGGTTGCCAGGTGCCCAGGATTTTTGCCTCCTGGCCAGGGGAAAATTCAGAAAACACCGGACATCCCAGGTGTCCGGTATTCTCTGAATTTTTTTTTTTTACCAGACAGGAGCTAAAAATACCAGACTATCCAGGTGAATACTGGACACCTGGCAACCCTACTAGGCACTAATAGACAAAGCAAGGATTTGGGATAAATAACCTGGTTTTAAATTGGCATAGGGCCTTCTTCCTGGTTTAGCAGAAGACTGAACTTGTTAGAATCCATGTTAGGATTGGGATTCGTTCCAGTAAACTTATTGGCATGTGTGCAGGTTCTTTTATTGCTTTTAATATATTTTCTCTGTAATGCTTGTTACCTTATGCAAGACTACTTTATTCTTAAACTAATAGACTTTATAGCCAGAAGATACTATCATGATCATCCAGTCTGATCTCCTGAACATTGCAGGCCATAGAACCTCACCCAGCCACTCCCATACTAGTAAAAACAGGGTGGTACTTACAATGTAGCAGTTACACTTGTTAATTCTCTCTCAAGAAAAGCAAGCAGGTATCCAGGGGCAACCTGTCTGTAATGAGAAATGCATAGTATAGACTGAGAACTGTGCAACCTGAAAATACCCTGGTCATAAGGAGGAGAGATGTGGGTCTCTATTTAATAGGTTCGGAGGTAGAATCCTGAGATTGGATGCATTAGCTGGACCACTGAAGGGAAATACAAGTACAGTTGCCCTGAACTGTGATAGCTTTGCTGCCAGGGGACACTTTGTTAAGAAAGTGCCATAACATATTTGGGGTTTTTGGGAGGAAAAGGGAGACAGTGCAGTTCAGTTAAGTAGAAAAAAAATTGAAATGGGGTCATATTAGGTTCCTAATATACTTTGGTCACGGAACATTACAAATGTGCAAGGTGGCCAGATCTCCAACTATTAATAAAAAGAGATTTTTTTCCTCAGGCTATTTTATGTTTCAGAGTAAAAGGAACAGTATGAAAGATGCTCATTGCTTTTTATCCTTGCATAGTTCCATGGTTTTTAGCTGAGAGAACACCTCTTACTATTTATTACATTTGCTAAGGTCAGCTAGGATGATGCTCTCGCAGTCATTATTGACATTACAATCTCTGATCCAGAGAAAAGAGACTTTCTTTGTGCTGTCTTTGGAAATCTGCTAGGAGGCCTGTGTTTGGTGATCCTCAAGGCAGGATGCCAGGTATATTAATTTGTTTATCTTCTTCTTGAATGTTTTTAGTTTATCTCTTTGTTCATTCTTGATGAACTGACTGCTAATATCATTTTGATGGTTCCAGTAATGATTTATGAGGTTAATACAATTCCCTGGTGGTGTCCTCAAAAGCACTGAACATTGGCCTAACTGCTCCTCCAGGGTATTAGTGGAGCAGAATTATAACAATGAGCACTTTGGAACGCCCACGGGTCTCTCTTTTTAAATATTTAGGTAACCAATGCCTCCAGTAGTAGGCACTTTATAAATTGAGCTGCATCTTCACTAGCAGTTTCCCATCCAACAACAAATCCAGACTCACCTTGCTGAACTTGTGGTATCTAACAAGATTTTCGAATTTTCTACTAATTCAGTTGCATTACCTTTAACAGAATTACACCGACAGAGCAATTGTCCCCATATTATTTTAGCCAATGGAATTTGCAGAGGACAAGACAAAATAGAATGAAACCTATTTTTATGTGTATCTAATTCTTAGTGAGGGATCTTCTCCTACAGTGTTTGAATATCCTGAATCTATTCATCTATGAGATTAAATTACATTTCATGCTACTAGGCCTGGAATTAGAGTGCCACGTTCAGTACTATGCACAAGCTTGCTTTTTAGTCATTAGATTCTGAGTATCACGAGTCCTGCAGTCTACTTAAAAGCTAAATTCCCAGAAATAGATGTAAATAGCTTACTTTTAATATTTAAATTGGGAGCAAAAACAAGTACATTTCTATAGAGAACATAAAAAAGAAAAATTGAGACCCTTCATTGTGTTATGTATACTTTCTTTCAAGTAATGTAGTTTTGATCTAGAGTCTGTCTTCTAAGCTTTCCAAAGTTAAGCTAATCAGAGCTAGTTATGTAACTTAAGCTTGCTGACTGGTTCTCTAATACTTAGAGCCCATCAAATCGGATGCTTTATCTTTCATCCTTTGGAAGATGCAAAAATGAACCATTTACTGTGTAACAGGTACAACAATAAATATATAAGATCCAGCAAAATGTTAGCGCTCTGGGTTCTTTGGCTAGTACTGGGTGCAGCCAATTCTTTGGCTTCTCTTCTGAAGTTATTGACAAGGATTCCTCAAGGAATGTAGATGCCAATCTCCTAGGAACCAGACAGAGGCCACCAAATTATCTATCATAAGCGACTAAAGAGCCATTAACAACTTTCAGTCATTTCTTATACCATAGGCTGGATTCAGAGGCTTAGAAACAGAAATTGAAGGCTGTATAGCTAGGTCACCTACCCTAGTCATTCTTAATTTTTCCATAACAGAATTTCCCCGTCAGCTTGCCAGTACCTTCTTCTCCTTCAGCTATATGAAATGGTCATGCTGTTTGTGAAACCCCTTGACAAGTGTTGACTATGTCTCTGGGGTCATACCGCCAAGGCTGAGTCTGACCTAAGTTGTTCAGTCGTTTAAATATGGTTTGATGGAAAACTCTGTGCTTTTGAGTTTCTTGATGCTTATCCATAATAGAATGGTGCACAGAAATCAACCATTTATATTAGCCTATCAGCATAAGAACATACATAAGAACATAACATAAGAATGGCCATCCTGGGTCAGACCAAAGGTCCATCAAGCCCAGTATCCTGTCTGCCAACAGTGGCCAGCATCAGGTGCCCCAGAGAGGGTGGACCGAAGACAATGATCAAGCAATTTGTCTCCTGCCATCCCTCTCCAGCCTCTGACGGACAGAGGCCAAGGACACCATTTTATCCCCTGGCTAATAGCCTTTTATGGATCTAACCTCCATGAAATTATCTAGCTTCTCTTTAAACTCTATTATAGTCCTAGCCTTCACAGCCTCCTCTGGCAAGGAGTTCCACAGGTTGACTACACGCTATCTTTATCAAACAAGGGTTTACTTCAGAAACACTAGCAAATCTTCTATTCTAGCAGAGCTAAGGAATACAGCTCTCAAAATTGTTACCAGTCAACCAAAATATAGACAATAAAGCAGAGAAGAAACAGGAAAAAGTAGTACAAACATTTCAGTTTATACTGTGTCTTAAAGTCAATTTGTAGCCAGTGAAGTAAAAGGCAGCAAAAACAAACTTTTATTTTCATCATTAATTTTTCCTTTAGTGTTCATTATTTAAAATTTAACTAAACTCTGATTTTTTTAATTTAATGTGAAAATTGGCAGTGTTACAGAAATTTCTTTTTGTAGGAGAGTGAGTACAGTGCGACAACACAGAACTCTTTGTGCCTTCATTGAGAACTCATATCTGTGTAAGCTTTACTGGATCTAGGATAGTGGCTGTACTAATTTATGCTTGTTTCTTTCCCCAAGTAATGTTAAAAACAGAGATAAGCTATAGAGACAAGCAAGACTTGGTGACTTTTCTCCAGGAATGTTCTGATATTCTTGTGTGTTCGGTGCCTGTTTTCAAAAAGATGATTGCTCTGTATTACCTATGTTTAATCATGACTTTGCCATAATATGACAAAGTCAAAATGCAGAGAGATGGAGGAAGCAGCAAAATTGGTAGAATGATTGCCCCTTGAAAAGTGTGGTGGACCTACACAGAAATTTCTTAGGTGGCAATTGTACCCCCATCAGTGTAATTTAGTGGCAGCATTTAACTCTTAAAATACTGAGACTGGTTCCCTTCCAGCTCTTACTCCCCCAGTTAAATAGAACACCCACCACAGCTGCCAAACAGAGTGCCAGAACCTAATATTTGCCACCCTACAGAGACCACTTTGCTACCCCATTAGCTTCTCCACTAGCTCTTCTGCAAGGCTATGTCTACACTGGTGGTATCTTGCGCAAGGGTTCTTGTGCAAGAAGTCTTGCGCAAGAACGCATCCACACTGCCATGTGCGAGATATGCTTTTGCTCAAGAGCGTCCATGGCAGTGTGGATGCTCTCTTGCGCAGGAAAGCTCTGACAGCCATTTTAGCTATAGGGCTTTCTTGCTCAAGAAACCCCTGCCGCACATCCACACTGCCCTCTTGCGCGACAGCTTACACTTGTAAGAAAAGAGCATAGCTCTTGCGCAAGAAGCCCTCACTTACGGCGCCGTACTGTAAATCTTCTTGCACAAGAGCAGGTGAGCAGTGTGGATGCTCTGCAGGTTCTTACTCAAGAACCTGTCAATGTAGACATAGCCCAAGTGTCCATATCGGTTCCTCTTCCCAGTTGCCTCATCACATAACCTGTTCCCCTCCTGCATGAGCATCAGGCAGTAGAAACCTGTTAGGTGTTGGCTTGGAGATGGAGAAAGGGGATTCCTGAAGCAGAGGGGCAAGTCAGAACTCCTCAATCAAACAATTCCTAAGCCATAGGCTGCAAACTAGAATGAGAATTCCACACAGTAACTCTACTGTGGGAAAACGGTTTGTTCTTATAATGAGGCTCTATATAAGTGCTAACATGCTCAGGAATAACAAGGTTTTTGTTATAAGACCGTTACAGGATCACTTGGGAATAGTGACCATAATATAATAACATTCAACATTCCTGTGGTGGGAAGAACACCTTAGCAGTCCAGCACCCTGGCATTTAATTTCAAAAAGGGGAATTACACAAAAATGAGGAGGTTAGTTAAACAGAAATTAAAAGGCACAGTGACTAGAGCCAAATCCCTGAAAGCTGCATGGAAACTTTTTAAAGACACCATAATAGAGGTCCAACTAAAATGATTGTCTAATCAAAGGCCCTACCTATCAGCAAACTACTATCATGATGGCTATTACCAGGGAATGTTTTTCCCAACTTGGCAAAAGATAGAGTTCATTGGTGCATTGCTAGACTCAGTTACAGCAAGTGCCTACCTCCCGCCACAAAGATTCAGGGTCATCTGCGACCTCGTTCAACAGGTCAGACAGGCCCCCTTCTCCATGGTCCGGATGTGCCTTCAATTACTAGGGCATATGGTGGCCATGAAGTTTGTGGTCTTGTTCGCAAGGCTGCACGTGTTGCCTACAACATTGGCTTGCAATCAGCTACATACCAACCTGTCGCTGCCTCGCAAAGCACCTGTCGCTTTCTCTACCAGTGTTCCAGTTCCTCCAGAGGTGGATGTCTCTGAACAACCTCCTCATCTGTATACCCTTCCACCGACCAGACCGTTCAGTTACTATAACAGATGCATACCCATGGGCTGGGGAGCCCACTGTGGCGCAGCGTCAATACAGGGTACATAGGCCCAACACGAGAAAGTTTCACATCAGTATCCTAGAGCTCAGGGCCATTCGCAGGACTTGTGTCCGTTTCCTTCCCCCGATAAAGGGCAAAACTATCTGTGTCCTCATGGACAACACACCATCTATGTTTTATGTCAACTGGCAGGTGGGTGCCTGATCTCACACTCTA